CCCCCCCCACAGTCACCCAGCCCCTGCTCTCTTCCACCTCACAATCCCTGGGGGGCTCAGTTGCATCACAAACCCCTTCCCGGGCCAGCCCCTCCAGGTCTCTTCAGCACCAGCCCCACTCCTGTCCGGGACAGTTGCCCTTGGGCCAAGCAGAGGGGGCAGAGGGGATGTCGGGCTCAGCCGGCCAGCTGCTGGCCCAGTCGCCTCTCCCATGGGGGACTCCAGCCTCCTGTGCCACCCAGCCCCCGAGGGCTGCTGCTTGGAGCTGCACGAAACCGTGGCTGTCCTGCTGGCTTTGATCCTGGTGGTGCAACTGGCCCTCAAGCTGACCACTGTGGTGAGGGGCCTCTGGGGGCCCGGGGATGGGTGAGGCCCCAGCCTCCAATGGGGGCTTTAGCTTGGGGGGCTCTCAGCAGGGGATGTGGGAAAAACCTTGGAGATGGGGGGAAGAGATGCTGCCTAGGGAACAATTAGATAAGAGGGGGTGTAGCCTGCAGCTGCATAACAGAAAGAGAAAGAAAAAGAAACTCAGAAAGGACCCTCCCTAACTTCTCAGGCTGTAAAAGAGACGGTGGGAGATTTGTCCTCTCAGACTAGCAAGATTCTGTTAATGTAGCCTACAATAAAGTAGAATTAGCTATCTGGTCGTGGTTCCTGTCTGGTCTACCTGGGAAGGCTGACAGGTACCCACTGGGTATGGTTAAAAGAGTCAAGACGGCACCCACAGACTTTTTGAGCGTAACCTGTGGACACCCTTGCCAGGTTGGTCTGGCCACTGCCCAGGAAGCAACACGGGACTCCAGTCTCTGTCTGCCATAGAAGTTCAGACGGCTGGGGAGTTGTATCCAATGGGAGTTGTAGTCCAGTCCAGGAGCAGGCAGGAGCGGCCCCTGGCAACTCCAGACCCCCGCTCTCCGTGGTGAGCTTTGAGGGTCTACTCCGTCCAACCTCCGGCCCTAACGGGGGGTGTCCTCCCTCTCTCTCCTTCCCAGATCTGCTATTACATCTGCTGCTTCGTGGGGGGCTTGTGCAGAGCTCTCACTGCCAAAGGTGAGCGGGGGGATGGCAGAAACTGGGTTTGCAGGAGGGGGGTGGCGTGGAAGGGCTTCGGCCTTTCCCCCCGGCGCCTCTTGGTGGTGGCTCTGGGGTCCTTCCAAGATTACAATCTTTAATTAACCACCTAGGAAAAATGATGGAATGGATTCTGTGCCACCAAGTCAGCGTCCACATAGAGAGATTTTCTCCAGGCCGGTCTGCCCCAACCTGGTCCTTCAGTTCTTCCAACGGTGCCCCTTTGCACTGTGACCGAGTCCCTTCCTCTTCTCTTTCCCACCCCCTCCTCAGCACCATAGGTTTCTCAAGGGAGCTGCCTCCCCCACCACAATCCTGTGAGGTAGGCTGGGCGGAGAGACAGAAGCTGCGTCTCCCCGGTTCTCACCCATCCCTGGCTCCCAGACCAGCCGCCAGCCTGACCCCCCGGGATTCCAAGAAGCTCCAGCTGCAGGAGGGCAGGGCTTCCCCCTCCGGACCAGGCAGACCCCCGGCCTGTTTCCCTGCAGCGGGTGGGTGGGGGAAACGGCCAGAGGGCCTGGGGGAACCCAGTTATTTAGCCTGCAGCTTGCAAGACATACTGACGGTCACGCGGTTGAAAAGCAGGACGCAAAGCAGGACGCATAACCTGCATCGCAGGGCCCGAACACCAGCAGCACAACTTCTGGGCAGGAACGAAGTGTGAATTGAGCCCTAAAATAAACTTAAGATAGTTTTAAAAAATAAAAAAAAGAGCACCCCACATTCCCTGCCGAAACCTAGAAGGAAAACTGCGAACTTTGATCTTGCTCACATCAGTAGCAAAAGCCACAAAACTTGCCATCCGCTCCTGAGACCCCTAAAATTATTTAAGCAGGCTCGTGCCCTTCCAAATAAATAATTGATGCGTATTGCCATTTTCAGTGTTTATTTTCATTTCATGATATTGTTTCATTTTATGTACTTTGCAGGTTGTAACTTGCCCTGAGATTCTTAGGATAATGAGGGGGTGAAAATATTCCAGTAAACATACACAGATTCCCCTAGGAACACAACTCTGGCATTCATTTACACCACACACTCACGTTCGTGCCATAGTGTTACATTACTGTTTTTATCTTCTCCTTAAACCATGGAACAATTTGTTGCCTTTCGCCATTTATGGCACTGTTTTATCCATTTGCTTGTCTATTTACAAGATAGATAAAACTGCATTCAACTAGAAATGTTGAGAGCCCTTCTCAAGCTGTCAATAATTCTTTTAAGAAGCTGGTGCTGTTTTATTGCTGTATTTTAAAGGGCGGATTTGCCGTTCAGGACCTTTGTCCAGCCTGGTTCCTGCTGCAACCCTGAAGCCACGTTCGCAGGGAATTCTGGGAGTGCAGCTCCCAGAATTCCCTGCCGTGGCTTTAGGGATGCAGCAAGAACCAGGCTGGCCAAGGGTGCAACGTGACAAGTAAATTCCAAAGCAAACCCAAAGGATCCTTTTAACTGTCACACCTCCATTCAAAGGCGCTCGGAAAAGAAGGATTCCAAAGGCCCAAGGCCAAGGGGAAAACTCCAGCGGCCTTCTTCCACGGCACGGAGGCTGCAGAGGCCAAACTGCTTGGACGCCGGCGTGGCGGCACCCGGCCCGGCCGCTCGTGCCCGAGGTTGCTCTTTTGCAATGCTTCCGCTTTCTCTTCTCAGGATCCGAAAAGCCTCCTGTTCTCGTCCGCCCAGTGAAGAAAGCGCACCACCGAAAGCCACCAATACAATACTCAGAGGAGGATCTCCCCCGCCGGCGGCACCGCAGAAGCAGATCGCCGCAACGCCGGTGTCTCCAGTGCACCCTGGAGCCGGTCAAGCTCACCATGAACTTGGAAGGCGGCCACTTCCGATGCCGGGAGCACCAGCAGATGCGCCGACGCTCGTGTGCTGATTATCCACCCTGCGGCTCACCCCGTTATTACAGCTGTGACTGTGAGAACCGGCACCGGGCCCGGACCTCCTCGGCCCCCTCAGCCTATCCCATCCCCCATTACCGGGACGTGGCCTGCGGGACCTCCGACCTGATCGTAAACGTCCCTGCTGATGCTGAGCGCCGGAATGTCGGGATAGCCACGGAACCGTATCCGCGGACCCCGGTGGCGGAGACCCAGCGTCGCTCCATGGTCACTGGCCAGGATGCAGACTACCCACCCGCCGGGCAGCATTCCCGTCGTCCCGCCAGAGTGTACATCTACCCGGTCCACCCTCAGACCCCACCAGGGAGTCGGTCGCCCAGCCCCGAAAGGGCCCACCGGCGACGGGCCGTCAGCCAGGACGAGCAGGCCGATTACGAAGCCCGCGAGCAGCGCCACCGGGCACGGGAACCGGAGGCACTGGCACCCGCAACGCCACAGCAGCAGGTCGCAACCGGGGGGCCACCCCGGTTCCATAACGTGGTCAGCAGCATCATGCAAACAGGGGCGACACCAGCTGAACCGGGGGGAGCCAACACAAAGCAGCGGCAGCCACGGGCCGAAACCCCACCAGGCTCCGACTGGGTCTACCGCCCCCTGAAATAAACCCTCCGAATGCAAACCAGGGAGTGGGAGGAGGAGGAGGAGACAAGAGAAGAACAGACATCCAGCTGCCTCAACTGGGCTCCTCTTGGGTTGGGGAATGAACATTAAAGACAATTCCATCCATCTCAGGATACCCCTTGGTGCTGCCCAGCTGGGCGTTCACCCTCCCCAGAATCCAGGTGCCGATTTCTCTGCCGGGGCAGCTTCTCTGCCTCTGTACCAAACCAGGGGTGTCCACAGGCCGTGGTCCCCAAAGGGCGCACATAAAGTCAGGTGCAGCTTCAATCACACCGTGGCAGCTGCCCTCCCGATTTTTTTTGTGACCACCCAAAGGTGGCACGGGTTAAGTGACAGACCCCCAGGGGAAGAACGGGTGGCTCAGGGGTGCTCGTCGCTGGGCGCATTCAGCTAGCCCGCGCGTGCACCAGCAGTGCTTGGCCAGAAACATCACCCCAAGAGCTCGAGCCGGGGCTTCGGAAGAAGGTCCCAATCCCTCCCTGGTTTTTCAGGGCAAGAGTTTCGAGGAAAGGGGCTGTGATAACACTTCTGTAAACGGCAGAAGCAGCGGGGATTCGGATACAGGCTCCTTTAAGTAGAGAAGAGCCATTGCCCCCAGTATGAATGGCTTTAAACAACCTCTGGGCAGGTGCAGGGAGGCTGCCCGTGGCTCACATTCAGGGCAGCGGTGGAACTGGGGGGCAAACCCACTCTTGGCCCATGTTCTGTAGGTGGGCTCTCACCCCAGGGAGAACTTGACTGACCACCAGGGGACAGCGAGGAGAGACAGAAAACCCAACCCGTTGCTGCCACCTAGCGGCTTTTCCAATTTTGCAGCTATACCCACGGCTTACCCCCTTCATGGTGGACCCGAACCAGAGCAAGCCCTCTCCCCATCTGCTCACGGCTTTTTTTTTTTTCCTGGGTGCCTTGACCAAGAATCCTGGGCGGAGGGCAATCTTTGCTCCGACTTGTGAGAAAGAAAACCGAGAAAGTCAGTTTCTCCCAGGCGCTTTTCTCCTGCGCCTTCCCCATCCAGGCCGCAAATGCCCAGCCTGACTGCCTGATTTTCTTGGGGGGGGGGGACTCCTGTTCCAAAGAGGAGCTCAACTCCCACCTCCAGCAAAGCGAGCAAGGACGGAAAGGCCGCATCCGCATCCCGTGCAGTTTGGAGGGGGAGGCTGAGCGAGCTCTCGGAAACCCCCTAAATGCACATTTTCATTCCAGTCTGGAGGGGCTGTAGGATTGCTGATTGCAATTCATCAGAAAGTTAAGGACCATTATGCAGAAGAGGAGCAACGCGCGCTCTCCTTAGACAGGTGTCAATTACCTGTCAATTAGCTTCTTGGCGAGGACAGAATGTTTTCCTTGTCATCAGCGCAGCAGTTTTAATGATGCTGCTAATGATTTTATTGGTCTTTAAGCCTGAACGTAATTTTTTGCATTCCGCTTCCTTCTAGTCTCATAATTTACATTTTTATGCTTTCACTGTTTGGATAACCCAGATAACTCAGGGCATCTGAGGGGCCCATCATCCAAACTGTGGGTTGCTTATCTGGGGTCTGTGGCATAAGCCACTCGATTCATGCAACATACTAAACCCTGAATGGTGGTTTGCAGGGGCTAAGTTCGCAGAGCAGGTAAAGCCACTACAGACAAGCCTTCTTGAAAGCCCCAGGAGAACGGCCCTTGGTCTTTAGCGCTGGCACTTGAGATCTCCTCCGCACGGAAGACTCGTGCAAGAAATACGGTGCAGCCACCTCCCAGTCGCGCCCCAGCCCCTCAGTCCCCTGGATGAGGACCAGCCCTTCGGGGCCCGGACACCAGCTCCCCCAGCATCCCTTCGCCGCTCTTCCGCCTCCCGGGGCATCCCCGGACTTCGAAGGCCCCTGGCGGTGAGTTGAACTTAGCCCCCCACCATCCCCCAGCCCCTGACTGAGGATTATGGGGGTAGGAGTCCAACACGCAGGGCGAGTCTG